CGTGTTTCCTAGGCAATCACCTTTCGTAGTCATGAGTCCTGCTTTAGCACCGTTTCACATTTGAAACTATAGAGGTGGATTTTTTGCCTTCCAATTTTCTAGTGACAAGGTCATGAGAGATAGCAAAATGATGAACATTCTGTTTTTTTTTTATGAGCAACTAAACTTTTCATTGAGAAAAATGAATAAAATAACACATGTCCAAGGGCATACAAAAAAACCAGCCCAACAATAGGAGGCCCACCTAAAGAAAGGGGCTACAATCCAAAATAATAACTCCTGATAATTACAAAACAACTTCGAAACCGACCCCCACAGTGAAGTATTAAATCTAATAAGCTCACAAACATACCCTCTAGTTCTCTCCACCCCCTTGAAGATTATATTATTTCTCTCAAACAAAATCCCTCACAAAATAGCACAGAAGCATAGCCACACATGGGAAGAGAGAGAGACACAGATGAAATAAAGAAGTACTAGTGAACCCCTTGGATGGGCTAGGGGACCAAACTCGAGAATCCTTCCTTCCTCGAATAAAAGGAACATCTCTAAGCAGAAGGAGCAACGCATAAACTTCAAAAGACTCCCTGTCCGTCAAGGGTCAACTGAAACCCAATGAAATAGACAACTCAATCCCCCTTGACTCTATCACAATGGCCACATAATGCAATCTCATGTCAGATAAGTGATACAGACGAGGGAATAAAGAGCACAAAGAATTATCACCCACCCAATGATTCTCCCATAAGTAGGCATCAGGACCATCCTGACAAAACAATTCAAGGATGACCCTTCTGTTACAACACCCCCAATAAGTAGGTATAATCACCATCCCGACAAATCAATTCAAGGATGACCCTTCTGTTACAACACCCTCATAAGGTAGCTATAAGTCTTTCTTTGCCTAATGTCCTCCAATTGGGAATGAAACGTTATTAGGCATTATTCTTTCTTTCCACGGTCCCTTTTTAGTAAAGCGAGTAGGGAGTTCGTTACTAATAATAGTAATGGGTATCTTATGTTTTTTCATATTTTGTGACTACTCTGAACTCTTGTCCGTCTAAAAGAGTGAGATAAAATTCTTTCAAGCCATTAGAGCTAAACAACCAAATCCTAAAGAATAAGAACAAAACTCGAGCCAATAAAGACAATTAAAGAGAGAGGAGAGCTGAGTTGAGCTAAAAAAGGGGAATGCGAGAGGGAGAGTAAGAGTATAGTGCCACTTCTCAATCTCGACATGCTGCCAAAATTATCGTTGACAATGTTGACATCACCATAAACCCAGATTGCCTTCTACTCTTGTTGCACTATTGCCGACCAATTCAAACTGATATAATAATTGTATGATATAGATATATATCTAGTGGTTCCCAAGCATTCCTCAATGTGGAACCCCCACCCATCTTCACAACCCAGAATAGCATTCATAGTTCAACCAACTACAATTCATTATGCTACGTAAAACCCTGATTAACCAAAATACAAACTTTGAGAAGCGCCAGCACATAGTTCCACACAAAAGCCATCCTAACCGCACGCAAACAGCTAGTTCACTGAAAAAAGGTCTAAATTAAGCCGTATTGAAAATTGCTAGCTCGTAAAAAGGGAGCAGAAGAACGAAACTAAAATCTACAATAAGACACTGAAAGACCAGACTCAAGCTCCAAAACGGGAAAACGGAAGCTAGATAGGGTAACTTGAGTTGGAGAGACCGAAAGTAGAGGTTTATCAGTTTAGTGTAGAAAAGCTCACCTGCATGGAATTGGAGTTGGTCTGTGATCTCTCCAGCGCGCCCATTGTACGTCGTGTAAGAAAACTTGGCTCCGACTATCGAAATGAAAGACGAATTAGAAGGAACTGAATCCAGAGGGGAAATTTGAAATTAGGGTTTGGAGAAAGAGGTGGGACGAGAGGAAATTGGAAGAGAAACAAGAGTTCAACGGGGAGAGGGGTCGATACAAAAACCCTAAAACAGCCGTAGACGAAGAAGCAGTGTGAAGCTTCGCAGCTCTCTCTCTCTCTCTCGCGGCTATTCTCTCTCCCCCCTCTCTCTCTCGCTCCTCTTTTATTCTTCTTAGAATTTTAAAATTATAATTTTGTGGCAGTGCGGCCGTCCCATCCCCCGAACGAACTACTACGCAACCCAGAGTTTTTAATAATAATATACATTTAAATTTCATTTTCCACTCTCCCATTTAGTTCCTAAAACTTTACAATTATTTATTTCCTTATTAAAATTTTCAGTATATGTTTTTATTATGCATATTCTAATATTGTGCAGTTCTATAGCGGTGGCGGTAGAAATTTGATATATGCATTAACCATCCTCGAACGTTGTACTAAAAATCCAGTCGAGTTTTGTTAGGTGGCTATGTATATTGAAAACTAATCATTTTGATATTTACTATGTTCTTTATCATCTAACATATGTTTACTCAATGCTTGTCTTTGACCTTAGTTTGAATATGTGTGTTATGGGTACTCTTTACACAGTCATGTTATCAATTTATTAAAGGTAAAAAATTGTACAAAATGGATTTTTTTGTTTAAATAATTGTGAAGCGGTGGATCGAACCATTAACCTTTGGGATAGTATTAAGGTATATTTTGTCTATTCAAGTTATGCTCGAATTGACACAAAATTAATTTTTTTTAGATACAAATACGAGGGTGGAAAATTGAACCTTAAAACTTCAAGAAAAGCAATAGGTACCTTTATCATATTTTGGTTGAATTGGTTGAAGCTCCAATCTAAGAGAGGTCATTAATTATTTACCAAGTTGAGCTATGTAATTTGGGCATGGCTAGTTTCATATTTAATATGATTAGATATCTTACCAAGCAAAATGGTTAAACTAAAAAAAATTACAACAATGGTTATAAGAAAAAATATATTTTTGGTGAGGTCTAGAGTAGATATTAATATTTAGTCTCTAAAGTTTAAAAAACGAATACTTTTAATCTATAAAGTTTAGAATATGTGTTGATTTGATATTTAAAGTTTTAAAATAGATATTTTGGTCAATTAAAATTATTTCTAAATGATTCCTAAACATCAATTAGAAGATGATTAGACTTTTCTAACTGAGTTGTAAAAAGATATCACGTTGTGATGCATTTTTTATTCTTTTTTTCTCTCCGTCTTCTTGCTGCCGTAACCGGTGAAGTTGTGTGGTCTCCCCGCTGTTCCTTTTTTCCGGAAAATAAAAAACAAAAAAAGTATTTTCTCTAAATAATAATAATAAATTGTATGGTTGGTCGGTTTTGCCATTGGTGAGACTATGAAATGTCGAACGTGCCACTAAGAATGAATCCTCGAAAATTGACGCGCTTTCTTTTTGCCATCAAATCAAAGTCGGAAGTCAGTGGGGATGGGTGGGGCCCATGTCCCACAGCGTTACGGACTCCTGTTTCCGTGGTTTGCTCGCACGTGAGAAATGAGATTAACACGTGCGGGAATTTTGGAGGAGAGGATGGTGAAAAATTCCCTCCAATCATTGGTGGCCAATGAGATGATTGCAAAGAATTAATGCGGTTTGATTTTTTTTTTTTATTTGGACGAAAAAATAAAAATTTTGAATCTTCGTGTGCTAATATAACTTTTTTTTTTTCTTTGTAGTTCTCTCTTCCACTTTTATCTCTAATGTCTCTCTTTTCAAAACTCGTGAATAAAAAAGGTTTTGCACAGTAAATGATTCAATTTTTTCTTTTTATATGATTATTTGATAATATTTTTTTGAATTTTATTGTTTAATTATGGATTGATTTAACAAATATTTGTTTGTTTAATAAAATGTTAAACTACATGTTTACCCTCATTAACTTTAGTTAGGTATATTTAATATTTGAAAGTAAAAAAAAAAAAAAATATATATATATATAATATTTTGAATTGGGATTATATTTAGTTTCTATTCAATAAGTCTCTTGGTATTTCATTGATGTTATGATATTGCTTAAGGCAAACACTAGCATGATTTTTGTTTTGTACCGTCTGACTTATATACTATAATTTATTCGATTATTTGTATCACAATTAATGATGACTTCAGACAAATGACTATTAAATCTCTCATTAAATAATTATTCATTTATTTACTTTCTACAATATCGATGTTGATTTTATTCAAGTCAATTGTTATGAAACAGACGCCTTGAAATCACAAATGGTATCATGAGATAATAAAAACACAAAATATTAGCCAAGTGCTATATATAGAAGAGAACCAATTATTGTACCAGGGTACAATTATTGATTTCTTATTATTGTCTTGACACTTGTCTCAACATAATTTGATACAACCTAAAGAGATAAGGTTTGGCCGACAAGACAAGTCATTGACTGGCATCTTATCTCTTTGGAATCTACTTTAAAAAAGTAAAGATAAGCATGGCCGACAAGAGGCATCTTATCTTTGAAAAAGTAGGAAAAGAAATAAAGTAAAGCGAAAATCATTACAAACTGACAAAATAAACAAAAGGCTTAAAGTAAAGGCTGATATGACTGTTGATGGACTGGATACTTGCTTTAGAAATCTGACGAAGTCACCCGACTTCTTCTGATTTAGCGAGGATTGCGGATTCTGTATATCAATCGTAAAGGCTTCTCTGGTTTCTAATTAGGCCGTTCCATCCAAGGTCTTACTCTCGGCTTCCCGCCTTTCACTGCCCAAGGAACACCATAGATTTTCGACTAGAGTTGCCTTGTGAGATATGGAATCCTCTCAACTGAGTCAATCCTATACGCTACCTGCGTTGCCTTGTGGTTGGTTATTCCACATCAGAAGCATGTCATCTACTGTATCATGATTTCTTCTGCAAGTCATTCACAAAAACAGACTGGGATAGTGATGATAAGATCGGAATACAATGATCTTATCCAAAATTCTAAATGAAATTTAAACAAATTAATTTACATAATAAAATTAAATTAAACAATTGAAATATCTAGTTTCAGCTAGGCTGAGAATCTAGATATGGGTCGTTGATGTCGTATCCTTCGAAGGGATCGAAGTCTTCTTCGTTGTCTACGGCATCATCGTTGACAGAGGCGGAGGAATCTACATCCGTCTGAACATCGTCGGGGTCAGAGATCTGAACTGCGACGGTATTGAGGACCGAGTTGAAGTCGGCTTGAGATCCGGCTCCAGCAAGTGAACTCATGATTGAATTCTTCGCCAGAAGGAAGGTTTCATCTTCTTGCCTTGTGACGTCTTGTAGATGAACGTTGGTCTTTAACCAATCCTTCATCTTGTCTGATTCTAGGTAGGAATAATCGAATTTTTCCCACAATTTGATGCGTAAAGCTTTGCTCAACGCTTTGAAGTTTCCACTGGGTCCTAGCTGGAAATTCCAACAAAAGATCCATGGTATTTGAAAGTACAAAGCAAATCTAAACGTCTTAGAGAGGGGAGACGAATAGATACTTTGTTGGAATAGGTGGTAAGATCTCTGAACTTCTACCGAAAAAATTTCGTCGGAGAGTCCAAAGTAGTTCTACCAAGTTTGAAACCAAACTGGAAAGTGAGACTTGTAAGCTTGCTTACAGAATGTCACAAATCAAGAGTGGTTGTAACCTTGTAACCAGAAAACAATATACCAAGCTTTCATGTAGTCTCGGTAATTGTATGTTTGAGGCTGGAAGGTTACTGACAGTCTCTTCCCTACAAACATACCATGTTTCCACGAGGAAGGGGTAAGAATGCGGAAGATCCTGAGTTTTGAGTAAATGGTCCAAGAAGGATCATTTCTGTCTGGAACACGAGTTATTTCTGCAGACTTTGAATCTACCAGAATAAACTCATAGTAAGTTCGGGACTTTTGAAGATCCTGACAGGAAATTGAAGCCATGAGGAAATATTTGTTTGCAGACTTCTTGGACCGAAGGTCCATCGAACTCTGGTTAAATGGTTGAGTCCACCAGGGTAGTTTTGGTGAAATAACCAGTGATGGGAGGCCTTGGTTGAAAAACCTTTGGCCTGACTATTTGAGAAAACGAGGAAGGGTTCCTCGGAATCGTAGGTCTGGAAGCAGCGGCTGTCGTAGCAGGGCGCCTGTTCCTCGTTGTATTGCCGCGAGGGCGTAACAACGTGCTTGAAGGGGTTGGAAGGCTCGGAGGGCCTGTTTGAATAGTCAAGGCTCTCTGGGAAGAACCTTGCTGACGCCTGGATACCGTTTCAAACTGGATATCCATAGCATAATTTTATGCACTCATCGGAGATGGTACAAATGTTTGAGTAATTGGCCTTTTGCCCTTTGAGATAGCAGCCCTTGAAGAGAATGCTACTGTTTGTGGAGAAATGTTTGAATCATTTCTTGGCGATGGAGGTCGCTGATTGGTTTGCGGCGGAGGCCGCTGGGTGTTTTGCGGCGGAGGCCGCTGAGAGTTTGGCCGTCTCCGGCCTGGAGGAGGTTCCATCTTGAGGAAGGGAGGTCAGTGCTGAATTTGTGTTCTTAAAGAGATGTTCTCTTGAGAGATAATCAGCAAGGGAGTTCTCACTTCCTTTTATAGGCTCAATTTTGAAATCAAAGCAAGATAATATCGCCTGCCACCTTGCGAAGATTTACTTTGAGACAAGATTCTTTACATCTTTTTCGAAGATGTATTTGCTTGCTTTTGAGTCAGTTCGTACAGTGAAATCTTTGTTGATAAGATCTCCCTGGAACTTTTGAATGCAAAGTACTATTGCTAATAATTCTTTCTTCACCGTGGAATAGTTTTTCTGGGCATTATTCCATATTCCTGAATGATAACGGATTATGGAGATTTTTCCGTTAACTTCCTGTTTGAGAACACCGCCGTAACCGATTTCTGAGGCGTCGATGTCAATAATGAGGTGCGTCTGTTCTTCCACTAAGGATAAGCATGGGATGCTTTTTGTCAGCGCTTTGATGGATTGGACTGCGCGTGTATGTTCTACAGTCCAAGGCTTTGGATTCTTTTTCAATCTGTCATAGAGTGGCCAACAGATTGTACGGAGATCTTTAATAAAGTCTCCAATATAATTCACACAACCCAAAAACCACTGTAGTTGTGTTTTGTCTTGTATAACGTCTGGAAATTTATCCACA